GCTTATCTTAACGCCAGCAGAAGGACAAGAATTGATTTATCGTTACAGTAAGCTCTGGCAAACGATAGTGGTGGGGCCGTGATGTGCGGGTGTCCATCCAGCCGTCGGGTGGCGTGCGTCGCGTGCTTGTGAGTGTGTGATAAGTGTGTGTGTATACGTACGCTGCGTGCGTGGTTGTGCGTTATACTGTTCGTCGGGCGTGTGTGGTTGATTGCGTTCATGGGGCGCGCGTGTGGTGCGATATACGCCTGCTGCCTGCGTACTGATCGTGGCTGGTGTTGTATTCGTCCGGTGCGCTGCGTGGAGTGCTAGTGGTGTATGGCGATGTGACCGGGTGGGGCGTGCGTGGACGTGCAGTGGTGGTGCGAGTGCCGTGCGTGGCGTATGATGTGTGGTGTTGTGTTGTGGCTGTGTGTGACTTGTGCGGCGTTAGCGTGATGTGTTTGCTTGTGACGGCTCCTGGCGTGGTGTGTGTGTTTGTGACGGTGCGAGCGGGCTGTATTTGTGGTGGTTGCGGAGCGTGTATGTGTGGTGCGATTGCGCGTGGCTGTGTGTGTGCGAGGCGCTGGAGGTCGCGGCTTGTATGTGTGTTGTGCAAGCGCGTGCGAATTGGTACGCTGCTATCCGCGCTGTTTTTGCCACGGGTTTCGAATTGAGGCTTGCGTGGGGGTTACGAAGCATGCAGTATTTACACGGAAAGGGCGCGCGTGCGGGTGAATCTGGAGTGACAGCGGGAGCGCGCTTGTATTCGCAAGTTATGAATCATGACGCCGCAAATTACAAATGAGGGCGGGCTAACTCCGGCCGGTATACATGTGACATAATTGTCGTTAAATGTTGTTACATGTGACATAATTGTCGCTAAATGTTGTCACATGTGACATGTCGCCGCGAAATGTTGTCGCATGTCACATGTCGTCGCCAAATGTTGTCGCAGACTCTGGTCGACAAATGCAGTCGTTGTTAACCACGTCCGCTAGCAGCAATACACATAGTAGAATAGGTAGTCGACAGTTTACTAGAGAGAATGTGGTCGTGTGTCCACCGTCGCATCCAGCCAGTTTACCACGAGATTACTTATCTCGTCGATGTTCATTTATCACAAATGATTTTGTCATTAAACAATTATCGATGATGTCGTTATTCTACGCGAACACGATCAATCAATGGGTGGTTTATAGCAGGAGGGTGATATGACCGAGCTGGTGGCGTGACCATAGAAATAATATAGTAGACTAGTGTCGATATAATATTTCTATGGGTGTGACAGGGATTCAGCATGCGGCGACGCTCACGCCGCCCTGGTGGCCGAGTTAAAGCAGTAGGCGGACAAAATCGCCGCATATTATCTGTCATATAAGCTCCTAAAGACGAGGAGATAGCAACTTGAGCGTACCGTTTTAATTTAGATTTCTTAGATACCTGAATACGTCAGCAAACTTTTCACGTTTCCAACAGACGGCGTGCGTGCCCCTGGCGGCCACTTTCTCCGGCTGCCCTGTTGTCGCGACACCAGTATTAAGCATTAGTACAGGTATTAAAGCAATCGGATATCTACCTGGGTTGTGTATCGACGTCTCGACTTACCGCGGTCGTATCACGATAGTGAAATCCCATCGAATTCGGCGTGCTCGGATTTATTTACGATGGCCTCAGATTGCAAGCGAGTCTAACTAAATACAAAAAAATAGAAATGCGTGCTCTGTGCGCACATCAATGGCCAGGGAGGGATTTAATGATCAGGAACATCGCGTAAGCCTGTCCTCATCCCACCAGTTGTCGATTCTCGACCTACGTCTACTCTGGACATCTCGCACCTTTCTCCTCTATATACCCTATGCAATTCGCACTTCTCTCAGTTGACACTAACTCTTCTCACCTTACTAATTATCTGAATGCGCACTTTTCCCTCTCCCTCTCCTTCTCTCCTGATCCTCTCTCTCTCCCTCTCCTTCTCTCCTGATCCTCTCTCTCTCTCTCTCTCTCTTTCTTTCTTTCTCTCTCTCTCTCTCTCTCTCTCTCTCTCTCTCTCTATTCCCACTCTATATATCTCGCTCGCTTTCTCTCTTTCTCCTGCTATCTCCCCCCCTCTCTCACACTTTCTATTTCACTCTCCCTTTCTCTCTCTCTCTCTCTCCCCATCTCTATCTCTCTCTCTCGCTCTGTCTCTTTCTCTGGCTCCCTCCCCTACCGTGTTCGAGGATTCAGAGCGTCTCTGCCCATAACCTCAATAATTTCGAACGCCCTCGTTGCTGCCATCAATCTTCATCAAAGCGTCGTCGTTTCTTTCGTCACGCAGGGTGACGTCGTTCACGTGAAGATGCTGCCGATAAGAGAGTTTGAGATGAACTCGAATTTTCTACGCAGCCTGAAGTTGGTAAGTCTCGTTTTCTCTTATTAGAGCCTTTTTTATACAAGCGCGCACACGCACACGCACACGCACACACTCGCACGCACGCACGCACGCACGCACGCACGCACGCACACACATATATATATAACGTTTGACAAACACCAAAAAATAGACGACACTACATCTAGTCTAACCTGGTTCCATTTACTGTTTGGCAACGTCATAGTTAAAGGCAATCCGTGTGTGCATACTAATAACTCATTACCCTCGCCTGCATGGTATAGCTACGAGCAGATCGCCTTTACAGGGACGATACGTGGCAGCTGCGTAGCTCGCAGAGTGATCACGATCATTCTTAAACGAGTCTCCAAAACGGAAAAAAAACTTGATGAATTCGTGGCCGTTTTTGTAATTAGAAACGCCGTGGAACGCTCGATTCGCGTGTCGAGAACTTTTTAACTGAAAATATTATTTATAGTGTAAAAACCCAAATTAATCCGGGGAGTTTTAGTAGACGCCGGGACGTGACGTCATTGTCGTCACGTGATGCCTGGTCGCAGGTGCATCGGCTTCGGCCATTTTCTACCGATAGATGTTCCTCTCAAATGCTAAGTGAAAAAAGTTGCAAAATCATAAATAGTGTGCGTATATATATATATATCATGAATCGTATATTCATCTTATTTAATATTTCAGATTAAAGAAATCAAAATAAGTATTGATATACGATGCCGATAGTAACTAATTAGAACGTTATCAATCGATCAATTTTAAATTAATCGAAATGATTGGGTAGAAAGCTATATTATCGGCACATGTGGTGGCGACTCATCGTGCGATGAGCCGTTGAGATCTAAGCAGATCGATCTGTTTTTTAAAGATTTCTTTAGCTCTTATTCGTAAACATCTATATTTTGCGAATACGGACGTTCTAAACTCGTCACTTGCACAATGATCACCGTTCTGGGCGCACGTAATAACTGATGCCAAGAAAACTGATATTGGAAATGAGAATGCGTGTTCTTTTTTCTGAAGAAAATCCGCGTTATTTTCAGGCTCGTTAAATTGCGCGCGTTTTCAGAACTTTAGCAACTCGTACCATAGAATAGTCACTGTACTGTGCGTTCCGCGAATAAGGAAAATCGCTTCACTAACACCCGAGTAACTGCGAATTGAGACAGGCACTAGCTGAGATAAATGTCAACGAAAACGAACACCAGTTGGGAGGCCAGTCTTATTAATCACCATCGCTCGAAATAGATATCTATAAACTGCGAGCAACGTGGAGCTGCATGAATGAAATGCCATTATAACTGCTACACAATAAATCAGCAAAGTGTTATCGCGTTATGATGCCATAAAAAACCAGTATGGGAAATACGGCGAGCTAGTGTGATACACTTTGTGCGCGATAGCTTGCGCTGTTGGCACGTGTATTGTTCTGCGTGATGGTGTCACAAACTTTTAAATTGGCAATCGCCTTTTAAACTAGTTATTATTGCAGTTAGTAGCAATAATGATTAAACACTCATTAAATACAATGACGTACAGAAGTACGACAGTAGAAATACAATATACTGTCTAGTAGTGTCTACACATTCAGCTATCGTGAAAATGCTTTCATGTTAATCACGGTGCTAATCACATGTGGAACATTCTTAACATCAATTAAGAATTAATCACTATCGATTTTTTTGAAACCCCTTATTAGTTTCCTGCTTTCTCCAATGAATTACCTAAGAAATGATTTCACGTGAATACGCTATAGAATTTCTATTTCAAATCTGGATACAGTATAAGTTCATATAAACATTAAAAATTGCCGTTTTCTAGTTGTTTAGCTTTTATACGACAAAGCAGAATATTCAAATCCGTCATAGATACGTCAAAGTCCGGGCATGGAAATAATTGCACAACGATTGTAAATAAAATAAAAAATGAAACACGTTACGCACTAGTCAAATTGTGATAATTTATCAGCTTTTTACTATTGCATTCATCAGAGTTTTTCTCCACGAAAAAACTGCATTCATTACATGCATCTACTGTACTTGTATTATATGCCACTATACACAATAACGATTTGTAATCATAATAACAATTATTGTAGTTATTGTTATTATTGTTATGATGATGATTATTATAATAATTATTATTAATATTACCATCATCATCATAAAAAAGTCTCCAGTATATGTGAAAAGTCTATAATGAAACGTGTCTGCAGTATCATTTTTACAACCTCTGACAACATCTGGCTGAATATTTGTTCTCTGTCGCTCTCTCTCACACGCTCTCTCCCGCTCTCTCTCTCTCTCTCTCTCTCTTTCTCTTCCTCTCTCTCACCCTCTCTTCCTTGTTTGCGTACAGATGCGGGAGCTAAGGCACGAGAACATGAACCGCTTCATCGGCTGCTTCGCTGAGTCTGTTAATCCAGGACTGGTGACGGAATTCTGCAGCAGAGGAAGCCTAATGGTGAGTGTAGCACGATAGAAGAAGCCTAATGGTGAGTGTAGCACGATAGAGGAAGCCTAATGGTGAGTGTAGCACGATAGAGGAGCTACGACTATATATCGTAAACCTGCATATTAACTCTGGCAGTAACACATCATAAGCCTGTATAGCATGATTGTATACGTGCCCTAACAGTAACACACCATAACCCTGTATATCGCCCCAACCAGTAACACACGAGTACAGGCATGCATGTACATCAGCCTGGGCGATCGGGCGCACAGTAAACACCGTAACGGAGTAACTGTTGACGGATTATCCGTCATCGGTAGTAGCAGTTCATTGATTTCACGTAGCCGCGCACCACTACATCGGCAACACAACACAACACTGTCAACAGGGCCGCCATTAAAACAACGCGTGGAAGCGTGCGCGGTGGCTTGTAATATAATGCATCATAATGACCAAAGTGCGACACTAATAATATAACTATAACGACAGCAGCGCTCGCAACTCCGGTGTCGTCTTTACAGAACGTAATGTCAACGTATCGAATCAATATTACATAATTATAGTAATGATTATTGTTAATTATCACACCGATCCTATATATATCCTATATCGATCCGCTTTGCGAGCCTAATGAACAACATGTATATTGCCTTTGCGTATGGTGGTCGATGGAATTATGATTGTTGCATAACGTTAGCATTTGTTTTGCTGTTTATAAGGTCGTGTTTTACATCGTAGACAGTCGAGACTCAAGAAAGAAATATTAAACTGCTAAACCTATTTAAAAGAGAGTTTAGAGATTGAGACGTTTTCTACGAGATTTATGAAGTAATTTAAAACTGTTAAACTCTTTTATATCGCACTCTCTTGATATGAACTTTAAAGAAATTAACAAATTTACTCTCTTATAAAGTCGTGCAGGAGACTCGGGAAGACATTTAAAACCATTAAACCGATTTTCAAGAGAGTTTAAAGATTAGGACGTTTTCTACGAGATTTAGGAAGTGATTTAAAACTGTTAAACTCTTTTATCGCACAGAACTTTAAAAGGATTAACTAATTCACTCTCTTGTAAAGTCGCGTTTTACATCGTAGGCAGACGAGATTCGGGAAGACATATTCAACTGTTAAACCGAGTTTAAAGAGGGTTTAGCGATTAGGACGTTTTCTACTAGCTTTAGGAAGTAATATAAAACTCTTAAACTCTTTTATCTCCGCACCCGTGTTCGATAAGAAATTGCTCATCAGTCAATCTCGTGGAAGTCGCATTGTAAAATACTGCAAAATCAAACAGGAGCCGTAATAACACATCGTCAGCGTATCATTGCCCGTAAATATCCTGTTTTTCTATTTCCGTGATCTTCGATAGAGATAGCAAAACTTTTCCGAATTTTCTCTTATAAACGACGTGTTCCCACTATGAGTCATAAACTGCATGCAGGCGTTGACCTGTTGGCTACTGCGTGGCTACACACCATGCAAGCAGAGTAGGCATCAGGAACCAAACTCTCGTGGAATTCATTTACAGCTCGTACACATAATCTCTATAAAGAACGCTACGCGTAGAGTATAGGCATCACGTACCGAACTCTCGTGGAATTAATGTGATAGCTCGTACACAATCTTTAGACCCGACATTACACATAGAACTCTTGTGAAATTGATTTACAGCTCGTACACAATCTTTAGAAAGGACGCCTGCTTTAACAGCACGTGGGTTTTGCGCTGAAAACGTTGCCGGTTTCCCGTGTCTATAGGGCGGTTCTTCTGTGTTCTTCATCTCGTGCTACTCATCTTTTGTCCCCCCTCAGGCCAAACGCGCAGGCGAACGCGCTATATTTTCATTAGTCACTAGCGGGATACCCGGCGTTGCCCGGGGAAACCAGTGGCGTTACTCGGTTGGTGACCGCTTGGTTGAAAGGAAAATACCCCCAAAAATCTATATATCTATCTATCCATGCATTCATCTATGCATCCATCCATCCATCCAATGGCGTAGCCAGGAATTTGGATTGGAGGCGTTCTCGAGCGAGTAACAAGGGGGGTCTGAATTTATTTTTTTAGTTAAATGTAAAAATAGTGTTTTAAAATCAATTGATTTTATTTTGATTGGGGGGTCCTAGGGCCCCCAGGATCCCCCTTTGGCTACGCGCGTGCATCCATCCCATTCCATGACATCCCATCCCATCGCACCGCATCTCATCCCATCCCATCCCATCCCATGCCATCCCATGACATCCCATGCCATGCCATGCCATGCCATGCCATCCCATGCCATGCCATCCCATCCCATCCCATCCTATCCCAAACAGTAAAAAACAATAAGAAATCAAAAGATAAAAGACATTAAAAATAAAAAAATTAAAATTAAAAGTAAGAAATTAAAAATAATACATACTAAAGAGGTAGGTAAAAGGAAAAAATGAAAAAAGGGAAAAATAAGTTCCCCAGCTGTGACTCGAACCCGGAATCCCGGTGTAGGCGACGGATGTTCTAGCAATTATGCCACTGCGCCGTTAAGGGCATACACAATGGATTCACACGTACGTGATGTTTTAATCTGTACGCACCGCCATCTATTGATGAATAGAATTTTTATCAATTTTTAACTTTTTAACTTTTTTTAACTTAATTTTTAGCCAGAACCACCTCCCAGACGTGCTGATTCTGAAAATATATTTAGTTTTTCTCTAGGCTGCGGAGTTCTCTAGTTATGCGCGAACACACAAATTCGGCTGAACAACTTTATATATATAGATTAGCGCGCACACACGCGCGGACACACACACACACACACACACACACACACACACACACACACACACACACACACACACACACACACACACACACAAATATCTATTTATATATATATATATATATATTATATCAACAGCCCATTAATTAAGGGGTTAATGGGCTCTTGATTATATATATATATCAAAGTGTGCAGTCACGTTCTTGTCCTTTAATCTTTTATGTCTCTTTCTGACTTTCTTGTACGACGATCATAGTCCAACTCAATGCTGTCGGCTCTCTAATATAACACGACTGTCGTTCGCGTCGCCTGTCATTCACAAATGCTATCCATGGTCTGCTGGTGGTCCAGAGTGAGCAGCGTGGAAAATGAAGTCTCTGCGGCCAGCGTCACAAGTGAACGGGGGGGGGGGGTCGCTGTAGCAGCCGACTACATTACTATACAGAGGCATCGAGGCTGCGTTCGCACTGCTGACGGGCTAGTGCTATGACGAATGTCGCTCTACCTCGATTGTATAGCTGTGTGTGTGTGTGTGTATGTGTGTGTGTGTGGGCGCGCGCGCGTTTTAAAAATAAATACAACCCTATCATCTTTAAACGGCATTATTTCTATCATCATCATTTATATCAGCGAACGCGCTCTCCCCCAGTATTGTGTCCGCGCGAGATAGTGGAGATTATGTCTGTGTGTGTGTGTGTGTGTGTGTGTGTGTGGTGGCGCGCGCTGTCGTGTGTGTGTGTGTGTGTGTGTGTGTGTGTGTGTGTGTGTGTGTGTGTGTGTGTGTGTGTGTGTGTGTGTGTGTGCGTGCGTGCGCGTGCGTGCGTGCGTGTGTGTGCGTGCGAGTGTGCGTGCGTGTGTAAATATTTCCGATAGATCTAAATATAATAATAATATATCTATATTTTGTTGATGACTAAAGGACCTTTACAAGAACACGAACATCAAGCTAGAGTGGTCATTTAAGCTCTCCTTTCTCACCGACTTCGTCAGGGTGAGTATAATAATTATGTACATTTATTATATACTATCTAACCAAAGCGTTACTAACAAACAATTGTCGAAAACGATATATATATATATAAATATATACAGGAGTAAATAAGCATAGATAATCTATTATTATTTACTCCTGATATATATATATATATCAGGAGATATATATATATCGTTTGTTAGTATCGTTCGACAATTGTTTGTTAGTAACGCTTTGGTTAGTTAGTATATAATAAATGTTGATGCATTAGGTGTACGCGTGAGCGAGCTTTGACTGCGAACGTGAGCGATTGTTGTAAATGTCGACGTATTAGGTGCACGTACATTCACAAAGATCGGGTTACGAACACGAGCGGTTGCAATAAAAGATTGATGCATTGTGTGCATGCGGAAGCGATGTTGGGCTGCGAAGAAGAATATTTCGTTTTCACACAAGCTGCTAAGGGGTGAGGAAACCCTGCAGAAACAGCTGCTGCCGTGGCGGTTGTCTCTGCATGCAGCCAATGCACACGTCACGCATCCATAAAACGCATTCGCGACAGAACGAAGCAGAGAACTGCCATGCGCCACGCGCGCGTGCATGTGTCAGAGTTTGTTGTTCGCGCGCAAATCCACTCGCCACGTTAAGTGGCAGAAATTCACGACCGATCCGCACGCACACTGATAAAAAAAAACGTCGCGCTGTACGTTACGCAACATCTACGAACGACTATAATATTTCGTCATTCACCGCAAGCCGTGAGCACGTCGGAAATCTTATCTGCAGCGAGCCGCCTTCAAGTACAAGACCTCCCCTGATGCGTCACTATATTGCTCTTCCTATCTTTATTTTTTTTTTACGAGAACGAAATTGTTAGGTAGGAGTAACTACAGCGCATCGCTACGGCAATTATTGGTTTTGATACTTACAGGGGACGCGGGCGCACGTGAAAGATGCAACCTCTATCTATGGCAGCACGCGTACAAATAGATGAGATTAAACGTGGGGAACCGGATTTCTTCATGTTAGTAACTACGCATTATATACATGCATTACATATATACACATATGTGTAGCAGTACGATATGTAGCATATCCTTAGTCATATCTCTAGCAAGTATGTGTCAATATTAATTGTCAAATGTCAATGTCAATATTATCTAGCATATCTGTAGCAGTATCTCTTCTAGTATTTTGTAGTATATCAGTGGCAATAAATGTAGCATATCCGTAGCATGATCTATAATAGTGTTTGCAGCACATCCGTAGCATATCTGTAACATATCTGCAGCACGTTCTGCAGCACACCTGTAGCATATCTTTCACAATGTATGTATCACGTTCTGTAACACGTTCTGTCAAACATGTGCAGCCCATGTGTAGCACATTTTAGCAGTCTCGGTAGCAGCAGCAGCAGAAACAACGCAGCGGTATCGCAGCCACCGTACTTTCTGCACACCGACCCCCCCCCCACACACACACACGCACACACCCGCACCCATCCCCACCCCGACGTCGTCGTCGGCGCTTGTACAGTTTCATTAGCCGCTCGTTCAGCGTTCGTCCCGTAAATGAGGTTAGCCTGCTATTTATTCGTCGGGGAGCCAATTCCGGTGCGAAGTGAAGTCAAGCACCCGCAGGGGAGCGAGCTTTTTAGAAGACGATTTTTTTTTTTGGTGTGGTGGGTCGGATTTATTGAGCTCCCGCGCGCCAACGCTTTAACACGACGACGAACACGACACGAAGTATTGTGACAGATGACACGTACGCGAACACGACCCGCGTGTGCTTTGAAATGAAGCAGAAAGGGAATGGTAGCAGCCGGGGTTACCGATTCTCGTGTCGCTCGCTACTGACGTCATGGTTGTTCTTCGTTGCTGACGCTATTGTTGTTTCTCGCTGCTGACGTCATTGTTGTTTCTCGCTGCTGACGCCATTGTTGTTCCTAGCTGCTGACGCCAGTGTTGTTCTTCGCTGCTGACGCCAGTGTTGTTCTTCGCTGCTGACGCTATTGTTGTTCCTCGCTGCTGACGTCATGGTTGTCCTCGATGCTAACGCCATTGTTGTTCTTCGCTGCTGACGCCATTGTTGTTCCTCGCTGCTGACGTCATGGTTGTCCTCGATGCTAACGCCATTGTTGTTCTTCGCTGCTGACGCCATTGTTGTTTCTCGCTGCTGACGCCATTGTTGTTCCTCGCTGCTGACGCCATTGTTGTTCCTCGCTGCTGACGCCATTGTTGTGAGGGGTCGAATGACGTAGAGGCGATTATCTGCGGCCATCTTGTCTGCCGCTAACAGCGCGAGACGCTGACCATAAAATGCATAGAAAACACAAAAGCAGTGAAACGAAATCGACACGACCGATAACGCGCATTCCGTAATTGCCGTGCGAAACGTAAACCTCGGATTTACTGAAGCCATTACGTAAGCTAATAAGCTAGAGCTACGCTGCAGCATTACTGTGCTTAATCTGATTACGAAGCACGCAGCAAGAGTGAGCGTCTGATCGCGATGAAGGTATGTCATGGAGAGTTGGGTTATTTATAGTTCCTTTATACGTCTTGTGCTACGTCAGACGGGCTACCTCGTACCTACACAGCAACGTCGCGTTCTCTGTTGTGCATACATGGTTATATTCGTTGGGGCCGTATGCAACGCAATACACGCTGCATGCAGTTTATCGGGTCCACCTCCCGCTCCTACCTCCAATATAATATATATATATATACATATATACATATATGCACATATATATATATATATATATATATATATATATATATGTGTGTGTGTGTGTGTGTGTGTGTGTGTGTGTGTGTGTGTGTGTGTGTGTGTGTGTGTGTGTGTGTGTGTGTGTGTGTGTGTGTGTGTGTGTGTGTGTGTGTGTGTGTGTGTGTGTGTGTGTGTGTGTGTGTGTGGGATGACACGCAACACACAAAACAACATACAACACACACACCCACGCACGCACACGACACACACATACACACACACACACACAATCACACACACACACCCCGACCACCCAACACACACAACACATCCTCCATACTACGCACGCGCACCACGCTCACGCAGTCGAAACCACCGACCGCGCACGCAGCGCAACAGGACGGAGGCAAACGCACGCATAATAACACACACACACACACATCACACACACAGACACACACACACAACACACACACGACACACACCCACACACATATATAGTATATTATAGTATATATATATAACTATTATCTCCACGATAAATCCAACGCGAGAGAGAAGACGCTTGTATTCCGCTGCGAGACCGGAGCGAACACCTCCGGCGCCGACACCGACGTGTTCGTTATAAATGTACGTGTGTACGTACGTATATCGTGTACAGCTTTCACATCAGCTTTCATCTGACTCATGCTCTTAAATCCGTCGTAGATGGCGTCGAACGTCGGTCTGGCTTCAGGCATCTCCATCCAGCATTGCTTCATTATGTGTATCGCCTCGGGCGCGGGCCGACTCGCGGCGACACCGAGGTCGTAAATCAGCGCGGAGGCTTCTTGGAGCCTTCTCACGTCTCTGTAGAGCAGAAGAAATTACGAGAGAGTGAGAGCGAGAGAGAGAGAGAGGAGAGAAAGAGAGAGGCAGAGACGAGATATAGAAAAGAGACAGAGAGATTCTAGACAGAGAGCGTCGCGAAAAAGAGAGAGGAGAGAGACGAAGCAGAGAGAGAGGAGAGAGAGAGAGAGAAAGCCGCGAGGCGATTCGAGAGAGAGAGAAAAGAGAGAGAAGAGAGAGAGAGAGAGAGAAAGAGAAAGAGAGAGAGAGGAAAGAGAGAGAAGAGAGAGAGAGAGAGAAAGAAAAGAGAGAGGCAAAGAGAGAGAAAAAAGAGAAAGAGAGAGAGCGAGAGAGAGAGCCGAGAAGAGAGACAAGGAGAGAGCGAGAGGACGAGAGAGATGGTGGAGGAATTATGCGAGAAACACTGCTGTGTGTTGGCATAGACGTGTTCTTGCATCGATAGTAATTTCTACGGAGCCAGCTTTTTAATACAAGCGGTCATAAGCGAGGTAAAAGCGCACTGTACCTCTACACCTCATAATAGCAGAGAGTGAGTGCATTCTGCTGCGACAAACGAAATAAGGGGCGGAAAATTACTATATAAATACGTTTAGTGAAGCTGGCAGCGATGAACGGCGTCTCGTTTGCGTATTCTGGCGAACACCTAGGGATACATTATTATACGTTATAATAAGTTTATGACCTATACAAGTATTTATTTATTTATTATTTATTTAATTATTTCATCGATATATTATAATATTTTTATTATATTTATTGTATTATTTAATGTATTCATCCATTTATTTATTTCAATCGATAATATTATAATAATTTTACTTATATTTATTTAATAATTTTTTATCTATTTATTCATGGCATTTATTTTACTAAAACCATTATTGGAGATACAAACAAGCCTAGACTCGATGCCCCTACGTAAGTTGCGAAACGTCCCGCGATACGGAGAACGCTTGGCGTCAGTCTATAGGCAGGTTAGTAATACTACCTTCTGGCGATGAGTGCTGATGCTGGGAAAGGCGCCTAGCGCATGATTAGCTCGCTACAGATGATTGGCCGAAGGCCGTGATGACGTCGCCTCTGTGTTACCTTTACTTCATCTATCGCCGGTCCCTGAGCAGCTCCGGGCGACCACAGCAAAGAGTCTGCATACATCAACATTATGCATACGTCATACACACGGTGTGGCGTCGTCGTACGAACGACATGTGTGCAGGTGCGTGTGTGCAATGCTGCGCGGCCGGCGCGTGGTGTGTGTGTGTGTGTGTGTGTGGTGTGGGTGGTGTGTGTGTGTTGTGTGGTGTGTGTGCGTGTGTAATGTGGTGCTGTACTTATGTGTGTGTGTGCTGTGGTGTTATGTGTGTGTGCTGTGTGTAGTGTGTGTGTGTGTGTGTGTGTGTGTGTGTTGCGCCGCGATATGTGTCGTGTGGTTGTCGTGCGTATGCGTGTGTGTGTGT